ACGATAAGGTATGAGGGAAGGACTCAAGGTCTATTTCCGCTTATATGGAAGGTGGAGGTGGATCTCGGAAGGTTCCGTCCTTTTCCCTGCGTATAAACGGAAGCCTATTTCCCCCATGTCATTGTCCCCCCACTTCTTAGGTTGCTGTCCATATGACTGCTGAGGGGAGGGAGAACCCTGGGAGGAAGGCCTCTCACCAGAGACCAACCGGAAAGTTCCTGAGTGAGGATTGCGTCTCTTCTGGGGACGGGACGTACCAGGACAGCCAGAAGAAACTCCTGTCCTGGTACCGTTAGGAAGCACGCCTGAACCCGGAAGAACACCCCCTGATGCCTGTTGGGGGAGATGAGGGTGGTTCTCCTCCCTGGGCAAGAGAGGAATCACCGATTGTTCAGAGGCAAGAGAAAGCCCAGAAGAGAGTTTTGGTGTTGGGGCCCCAAGTGAGGGGAATGCCAACGAAGACGAAGGGGTTATTTGCCATGGTTAAGCCCAAGGCTTAGACGGATAAAATTCTGCTAAGTCCTAGAGAGAGATAAGAATCCCAAAAGGAGAACAGTTAGCCCAAAGGAAGGAGTCTACAGAAACAAGGATGTGAAAGAGATTATGGCAAAGAACAAAATGTTGCAAGCATTATCAAGTTGTTACCATATAAATGTTACAAAGAAAAATACAACAGCTAGAGAAGAAAAAGAAAGTCAAGGCCCCGGGTCAGCACGAGAATCTGGGGGAGGAAGAGGAAGAGGTAACCCATAGTGGGAGATGAAATCATCCAAGGATTGGTAAGCTGGAAGACCACTCTGGACCGCCTCATAGATGCAGTGTTGCATGTCAAATTTCCCTTCTTCATAAAGGGCTTCAGCACGGGCAGTCAGGGTGGAAACCTCTTCTTGATGAGCAGCTATTGCCTTCTCCAGTTCACCCATCCTTGACCGGAGCTCGCTGGCAGTCTGTCTCTCCTTCCCCAACTTCTCGAGAGTAAGCCTTTTCGCCTCTATGTGTTTCACCACGAGATCATTAAGATGGGCACCCTCTTGCTTGGCTTCTTGGAGGGAACACTCCAGCTCAGAAATCCGGGATTCCCTTTCGACCAGTCCAGCTTTTAGACTTCCCACCTTGTCTTCTAAAGCTGAGGCCTTTGACTCTAGGATGGAGATTTGTGCCCGGAGTCTGTGAAACTGCGCTTCCAGATCCTGGGTCCCCCTTTGGTAAGTAGCAATCTGCTCTTGCAGGGACTCGACCCTGGACCTTTCAGCTGCTAGTTCCATTGAGCCTTCTTCCTTGAGCCGGGCATTCTATTCTTGAAGGACCTGGACTTGTTGTTGTAACGCCCTGCAACCCGGTCTATTAGAATTGATTAATTTAATTAATTAATTACTGTTCCGGACCGGGGTTGGGAAAATGAAAAAGTTCTTAGAAAAATTATTTGATCATATCATTAAATTCGTCTTGACTGTCTGATTCCAGAAACGCAAACGGATTTCAATTCGGACCCGTTCGGGGGGAAAAGCGCGTACCGTT